GCCCATGCTGTTAAAATCAGTTTGGTTATAATGGATTAAGTCCTTGGATAAGGAGAAATCATCCTTGAGAGGGTGGACAGGAGTAGCCTAGTTAATGGCAAACCTGGATAAAATACTTGTATCTTTTATCTTCACTATCTTTATTGTTGTTATCATTTGAGTGCTTATAATTTTAATGGGGAATATTTTCTATGAACACAATTCAAATCCACCTTTCATGTGTTTTCTCTACCTTCACTGGGGAGTGTACCCGTAGGACTTAAGCTCAAAGCAGTGGTGATTTTCCTTACTTGGTTCTCTAGGTTTTTTATACTCACCCCTTGTGCTATAAACTGATTTTTGGTCTCTCAAATAAATGATTTCAGAACATTCTCCAACTGGTTATTGCCTTGATTTGCCACTAGATAGTTGGGAGCATCAAAACCATGAGGAACTTGTGGTTCTTGGGTAGCTTGAGGTTTTTTTTACCTTGGTTGTTGCTCCATGAAAAGTTAGGGTGATTGCGCCATCCTGGGTTATAAGTGTTGTTGTAAGGGTTGTTATTTTTGTTGTAAATGTTACCGACATAGTTGACTGAAACAGGATTCGTTGGACACTCCTTAAACAAATGTGCCCCTCTATAATGCACACATGTAACCGCAAACGCGTCTGTCACCACCTACACATGCTTAGGTTTAGGCACATCTGGAGTCATAATATTTTTCATCATTTGATGAATCTGAGAAACTTGAGCAACAAGGATTATAGTCTCGTTGACTTCATGCACTCCAACAATGGGCTTCTTTTGAGTAGTACTTGAAATTGTTATTGCTAATTGCCATTGATAAGTGTTGGTCATGATGCTCTCTATCAACCTATATCCCTTTTTATATGACTTAGACAAAAGCATTCCTCCTCTAGATGCATCAAGCATATTCCTTGAAGAAGAAATCAGCCCATTGTAAAATGTTTCAAGATGGATACAAATAGGGATGCCATGGTGAGGGCATTGCCTAAGTAATTCTTTAAATATTTCCCAAGCATCAAATAATGATTCATAATCTCCTTGCCTAAATGAGGTAATATCATTTCTCATCTTTGCATTCTTGGAAGAAGGAAAGTATTTAGCTAAAAACTTCTCAACTAGGTCATTCCATGTGGCAATGGAATTGAGCTCCAAGGAATTTAGCTAACTTTTGGATCTATCCCTAAGAGAATAAGGAAACAACCTCAACCTGAAGGCATCATCAATCACGCATGGGATCTTGAAATTATTAGCCACGTCCAAAAATTGCCTCAAGTGCATATGAGGGTCTTCATATGGGGAACCAGAGTATTGACTAGTTGTTTGTAGAATTTGGAACATCATAGACTTGAACTCAAACAAAGCTGTTGTGATTTCTGGCAAGATGATTCCAGTACTCATAACGTTAGGCTCAAAAACAATATAGTCCTTGATGTTACGGGCCCTATCATTGGCTATATCGATAATATCGTTATCACCCATGACAGGGATTCCCTCTTCTTCGTCTGAATCAACTGGTGGTGGTATTTGTACTTCAGGATCTCCTAAACCAGCCAGATTATCTGCAAGAGTAACTCCTTGTGTGGGTCTAGCAAGTCTAGTTTTTCTAAGGGCTCTGAGTGTTCTTTCAAGTTTAGGATATCCACTGCAGATTGGGCGCAACAATCTGTGCATACAATATTGTCAACACCTGTCGTGACACCAAACTACCAGCAGAACGTCAAAAACTCAAATGCCTTAAAAAAAATAGAAATGAATATAAAATCAGAAATGTAACAAATTATTCCCTGACAACAGCGCCAAAAACTTTTTGGTCGTAATCATGATTCTAAATTGTCACGTGCAAGTATACATGTTGTGATTGCAGCAAGTAATAAGTATAAGAGTATCGTACCCACATAGAGTAAATGCTACTTAGATTTGACTTTGTAAATTTCTATTCTTTCAAATTAAGCACGAGTGAGAAATAATAATGTTGATGGTGATGAGTTTAGTGCTAATTATAAAAAGACTACAAAGGGTGTAAAAAAAGAGTGAGTTATAACAAGAGTGATTGAGTTGAGTTGAGCATAGATCCATTAATGTCGTTTGTACATTTATGTGTCAATGTTGTATGAAGTCGTGACAGGCAAGGTCAGAATGATCATATAGTGTATTTCTACAACAATCAAAACATGCATGCAAGGGCAGGGGAACAAATCTCTAAGTCTCACTTATAACCCAAAAATATGTCTTTAAATTAATCTGATTTCCTTAATAGTTGCAGCTTCTTATATCTAAGTAAGCTAGGTCAAGTGAATATATCTATCCTAATTTTTCAACCATTTTTACTCATGAAGTACACTTGATGTTAGATCTTTGTCAACATCAAGTTATTACCTATTTCTAAGTTGATCAATTAAAGAAATAAGTTTTGCAACAAACAACACATGGTAAATCAAACACTAACCACACATCATATAACATAAATGCAACTTAATATTAAATTCTCATTGCTCAACTACAAAAGGTTTAGCTCATAGTGAGCTAAGTACAAACAACAAGCATATATCTTACAATAAACATCTTAGGACAACTGAAATTAACAAAAGATATAAACCTAAGAGAGGACTTGAAGGTCTCCTTGAGATGGATAATCTGCTCGCCAGTTAGCACCAGAATAGATAAGGAAAGAAGACTCTCTCACACTTCAAGATTCAAGCACACAAACTCTTTGTGAACATTTCTTTCAGCAGCAAAACTCTCTCTCTCTCTCTCCCTCTCTTTCTCTAGCTTCTCTTTATATAGGCCAAGTATTATGGTTTGTATCTTGAATTAGATCATGGGATTTTCTTATGAATCACATCAAGCCAAGTGGATTAACACCAAAACACCAACAACTGCTAGATAGAACAAGGAAATCGTACAAAACGAAACAACGGTGGGAGACAAGGTGGCTTGTGGCAGATTCTGCACCAGACGCATGTGGCACTGGTTTGACTAGAGTAGGGTACGATTGTACCCTTTTTTGTCTTCTAGCTACTCCACTATCATCTTTTAAATTTGAATAACTTTATCCTCTTTTTCTATACCACCAAGTTTTCCTCCTTTTATTATCCTTCTACACTTTCCTTAAAAGGCCAACAAATTCCCTTATTGAAATTATCTTGCCTAATAATTCTTCTTTAAATTTCCATCTTGCGCAACTTGCAATAGTCCAACTCTGTCTTGACTCTGCTCGACTCTGCTAACCTTTGTTCACACAAAAACACAATTAAAAACTAAAAAGGGGAGCACCTATTGTAATTCATACTACACGTTGAATTAACTCTAAAATGCATGAAATTAAACTAAAAAGAAATTAAAGTACTTAAACAGAAGAAACTAAAGGCATGAAATTAACTCACAAAATGTATGTTATCATGGAGTATAGTCATTGATACTCTGGCTAATGAGTCAATAACTACATTTGTAAGTATGAAATGTAATCTAAGAGGAGGTGAATTAGATTATACCATATCTTTTTTTTCTTTTTCTTTTATGAGCGATAACAAAGTGTTCTTAATTTTTCAAAATTGTAATGAATGGTAAAGTGCTGAAAATAAGTGCTGAAAATTAAAAGACGCCAAGATGTATACTAGTTCCCTTTTCCAAACAAGGGTACATTTAGTCCCCTCATAGTCCATGAGAGATTTCACTATGTTAGAATTTGTACAATCCTCACACCAAGTTCACTCATACACTTTTCTAACATACATAAGAAAGAACACCACTTTCTCTTACACTTGAATAGAAAGCACACCACTTTCTATATCAAACAATGATCACTTAACACATTGTGATCAAAACAAAATCTTTAATAAAGTATTTGAAATAAGTTGTTTTTATTGTTGTTGAACCAACTTCTGTACATAACTTGGTCTTCTCTTCCAATGAATAATTCAAGTATAACACAATTAAATTTCTCAGAAACTTTTGATAATTGATATAAAATTATGTAGAAAAAGTTTCAAAGTATAAATGCTTGAATTTGATGTAAAAGTTTGAATGGAAGAGGTGAAGAATTAAATCTGATTTGAAAGTCTTATATACATGTTATAAAACCCTTATGTATAGGTGTATCTGAAAGGAGATGATCCATGAACCTTCCCCATTCAAATTAGACTCACTGTATGTTGAAAAGTTGTAGCATTTCCCATGGTAATCGATTACATAAGTGATAATTGATTACCATGTTCCAACAACTATATTTTTGAATTTTATCTGTCGGTAATCGATTACCAATGATTGGTAATCTGTTACTGGTAATATGTTACCAATATCTAGTAATATGTTATTGGTAATTTATTACTGGCAATAAAAAAAGAATGCATTTTCAAATGAAAAAAATTTGTTCTTCAATTTTTTTTGAAAGTGTTTGCATGAGACAAGGTTAAAATGATTCAAAAGACATGTTTTGTGATCATATTAAGAGTATCACACATTAAATTAAACTTTATACCTTAAGCCATTGTTTTCAAAGAGATTCTTAAACATGAAGTCTTGAGAACTTTTATAAAGCAACTAAGATAATTTTTCTTCTTCTTTGATATGCATTGTCTTCATCAAAACTAAGATGCATAGTGAACCATTTCTTCATAAATCCCCCCTTTTGATGATGACAAATCATTGACATTGAGTTTTTGATCAAGATTAAAAAAGATACCCCTAAGTCATATAACTCCCCCTTTATGACCCAATGAAGAAATCCTGCAATTTTTTTAAACAAAATTGTACACAAAAACACACTGCTAATGCTCTCCCCCTTTGGGCATTATCAAAAAGAAGAAAACATGAACAACATAATCATAGACACACAAAATGATTTTAGCTAGTAACATAGGAGTAGCTTAAAACACATAAACAACATAGTCATAGAATAATCCATAATATCCAAAATATAGTGCTAGTCAACAAAATATAAATCAACCTAATAACATTCTAAACATGCATTAGTAACATGACAAACTAACATAATTTAGTCTAGATAAAACGTAAAAGACATAGTACTAAGAACCAAACAAAAAAGGACAACATAAACCGATATTAATCCTCCTCTTCGCAATTGACCCGGATGAGGAAGGCTGGATGAGGAAGGACATGTATAAGATGATGAGGGTTGATTCTCATGCTTGTAAACATACTTGGTACCATCACAAATAATACCTACTTTCTTGATAATGTCTTCACCAATCAAATTATTGAACTTGTTCATTTGAACCACTCTTTCTCCAATCATAACTACCAGACTTTGTTCAAGTATCTTACTTATCTCTCGTGCATATGGAAGACCTCCAATCTTAAGTCTAGATTCATACATGTGATTTTTATTGATATATGCCTAATTAACCGTTACATTATCCTTGAGTGCAAGCAGTAGTTTAACTTTAAACCCAATCATTTGAGAGTAATTTCCAGCCTTAGGAAAAATGGCATATGCAAGAAAGTAGTGCAACATTCTTTCATTCCGATGAAGGTTACTAGCATAAAGAATGAGTTTACCTACAATACTCATTTATTTTGTCCTTTGCTTTTTGTTGAAGGCTTCTTCGCGAGGTACATGAAACATTGATAGGTAGGTCTCAATTTTGTTGAAATCATCTTCTCCATCAGATAACACCAGAGTTCCTTCATTTGGAATCCCTAAAATAGAGTTAAGGCTATAACTGGTGATAGTAAATTCAACTCCTTTGACCCATGATTTCAAAGAGTTGCCTTGCATTGTCAAATTCGAGTAAAATAATTTCACTAGCCTGGGATAAATATTACCAGAATATTCAACAATGTTCTTCAAACTACACTTATCAAGATTACTGGAAAAAGATAACCGAAAAAAGTTTGAAAGAATACCATACTTTACTGTGATAACAGGGCGCTCTTGATATTTGTCCCGATATCATTTCTTATGATCTTCGGTTCAAAAAAATGCGACAAATCAAGCATATACCTCTCTTCTACTTCTCTTTCAACAATTCCAACTGATGGGTTCTTTGATCCAAACCTTCTGTAGTCAGCCATGTAAGTTTTTGGAGAAAAAAGGGTTTTTGGGATTTTGGAAAATTTTGAGGAATTAAGATGAGATAAGTGAAGGAATTGATGTTGGATAGGAATTATATGTGATAAAATGACGAAGATTTGAGAAAATTTTATGGTTTAAGAAGATTCTATAGAGAGGGAGGATGTTAGGGTTCAATTGCCTTTAGAAGAGAATAACACAAATGAAGAAAAAAAGGCTGAAAAATGACGTATATAGGCCTTGAACTGGTGCGATAATCAATTAATGATAAGTGGAAATCGATTACCATAAAAACAACGCCAAAACGACCCTTTTAGATTACCCTGTTAGATTTTAAAAAATATTTCTAACATGTTTTTGGTTCAAGTGCCTATATATATATTTCTTCTAACATCACATACCAACATTTAACATCACATACAATCATTTAATATACACATAAAAATAAAATAACTATAGATAAAAAATAATAATTTCACAAAGAATTGTGAAATTCTTGAAAATTATAAGGATGATTAAATATCATGTACCTGTGATAAATTTTTTTGAAGGATCATCGTCATGGCAAATCAATGAATTTTAAGATTCTTCATACATTGTTTTCATTCAAGATGCCTAATTCCCTCTTTATTTTGTAAAAATATTCTCTAGCAAGCGACTTGGTGAAAATGTTCGCCAACTGATTATCAGTATCCATGAATGTGACTTCAACGTCACCTTTAAGTACATGATCACATAGAAAGTGGTGTAGAATGTCTATGTGTTTGGTACAAGAATGCTTGATCTAATTCTTTGTTATGTTAATTGCACTTGTGTTGTCGCATCTAAGTGGAATGTGTAGCGGTAAAATCAATGAAGTTGTCACCGAGTATTTATTCATCCCATATGAAAGGGAAAGGGAAATCATTGAAGAAAAACCTAAAGAGGAAATCAAGGTCTTGCAATCGAGAGATTGGGTAAGGGAGTCGATTACGCGAGGGGAAGGTATTAGCACCCCACACATCCATAGTACTCTACAGGATCCACTCTCGTTATTCGAATCAAAGGGTGTGTTCAATCTAATGTTTAAGGGTTATAAACTAAGAGGGAATGCATGCAAAGAAAAGAGAAAGAATGTAGGGAAAATAAAGTTGTACTCGCTTGGGCCCTACCCCAATGCCTACGTATCCTTTTAGAGGAATCAGAGCTACCGTAGTTCGGCTCATATATTTTGTTTGTTTGTATTTTTTACGAACAATGTTAATTCTGCCTTCTGCCGCAGCTCTACCTTTGGAGACTTATGCATTGGCACAGAAGTAAACTAATCATGTCCTTACCTGAAAAGGGTTTTAGAGAAAAAGGTGCTTGAGCGCACAAAATTGTTTGAATTGGTTTGTATTTTTGTTACCTTGAAAAAGGGTTTAAGTATGATTAGCATGTTTTTGATTTGCTAAGAAAAGAAGTTTTATTTTAGATGCAAGGATGCAAAAAGGGAAAGAAAAGAGTCTATGGGAGACTAGCCTATCTCTAACCTAATGTTATCATACAATGGTAGTCCTATGTCGAGGATGAAAGGGGAAGTTCCTACCTACTGTTAGCATGCATGGTTTACAACCTAAGGTCTAACTTACGTTCGAACAGAGCAAGCACATCCTAAGGGAACATGATATGTACAAGGATAAAGCAAACAAGCCAATAAGATCAAGAGAGCACCTAAAGAGATCTTGCCTAGGTTAGCATGCCAAAGAAAGTCTAACAAAAGTATCCTATAGAGAACATGCAATGAGAACGAAGTCATGATCTCAATTTATAAATTGAGTGACTCATCGATCAAAAAGAAAGAAAGGAAAGCGATAAAATCCTATAGGGAGCATGCACTGAGAGAGAAGTCGTGATCTCAATTGCTAAATTGAGTGACTCATCGATCAACAAGAAAGTAAACAAACACAAGTACAACACATATAGCAAATGAAGTGCGAAATGCCTGCTACAGGTCTTTAAACAGTGACTTCGAGTGCACGCTCTTTATTTCCTACTTCTTAAGATATCTAGAAAGTGATAACGAAATACGATAAAGTGCGAGAAGTACAAGGGTAGTAGCGGAGGCTACCAAAGCAAGTAAGTCGTCAAGAGCAGACGAAAGCACTGAAAAAGCAGGGAGTACGCGTCGAGCAAACTTCACCAAGAAATAAACAAAGGCAGAAACAATCTCCAATTAAGATAAAGGCAAACGTGTGTCACGAATGCGGTGCATAATCGGAAATTCTGTTAAACCATTGATCATGCCAAGGGAATTGAATCGAGGATACGGGATCGACAAAAAAATGCATTAAAACCTTAATTCTACATATATGACAAGCATTAGCTCGATTAATTCCTAAACTAATAATAATAATAATAATAAATTATGGAAAAAATATCACCAAGTCAGAAATCAACATGTTAATATCCCCACAAAATTTCAGTTAAAACTTGTAAAGGGAAATATCAGAATTAATTTCTTTACAAAACGAAAATTTAAAAGAAACTAAGAATTAGCTGTGAGGTGTAGTGAATTGGGAAAGGGTGTAAATGGAGTGGAATGCTGAGCCCAATTTTCTAAGCCTTTTTTTGTTCATCTTTCTCCAGCCATGCCAAAAAAATGGATATCAGGCCTTTTATACAATAATGGCCCAAAATATAACCTATCCAGATCCACCAATTAACATGGTTCTTTTTATAAAACTTAAAGAGAGTGAATCTTAAATTGATATGATGCGTTTTGGCTTTAAGGACGTTGTGTCCTTCCATCTTCCCTTCAACATTCTCACACTTCCTCTTCTCTTTTCTAATATTGAGACCACGGTGTGATTCTACCGCGGCCATTACCACCATAACATACCTCAAACCATCCATAATCTTACTCAGATTGCATCCTGACCTCAATCATCATATCAATCTCTCGCGAAAATTCAAGACCAGGCCGGATCTATGAAGTACCTTCGGAACCCTAAATCTATAGAATTCATGGATCTACGTTGATAACATCGCGATTTAAAGTTCATACTACCCTAAAATCACCTTAATCACCATGAATGTATGTTAAACCGCCAGAGAATCATTAGAAAGATTTGAATAAAAGTAACGAACCTTGATTCGATGATGAAATCTATGACCACTGTGGATAAGGTATTTTCTGCATCTTTCACTTGTTCCTCCCTAATTGCCTTCTTCCATTTCTTCTCTGATTAAGTGCTTTTTGCGCTTCTGTTATAGTTCTGATGCGTTATGCATAATCGATGATATGGTTGTTTGTAGGAAATTCCATTGCAACGAGACCTATTGAAAACGTGATGAAGATGAAGCTATTGCAAAAATCGTGCAATGAATATGATGATGGTTATTTTCGAAGTTCAAGATGATGCCAAGATGATGATGGAGCTTAAAGAGAAAAGTGAAGAAGATTTAAGAATTTGCGATGATGGATATGTTGCAGTGAGAAGAACCATTCAGATTGGTGAAGATTGATGATGATAAAGTTGCAGCAAGGTTCTAGATTGAGAGAATCAGAGAGAGGAATCTGGAATTCTTTAGTTGCCCCTAGAGGAAAGAGTTGAGAAGATTAACCGTGGTTCTTGGGGGTGAGAGAGATTGAAGTAGAAGATGAGTATGTTTGAGATTTTTTGAAGTGCAGTGAGAGAATGGAATCGATCTTTTTTCTGGTTCGTTTTTCATTATTATGTTTTTTCTTCTCTCAAACCATTGTATCCTCTCCTCCTTCCATTTTCTGTTATTTCTCTATTAAGAAGAAGTTAGAAGGGTCAGAGGTTGTTATGGCTGTTAAGGAGTTAGTTTTGGTTTGGTATTTGTTAGATACCGTTAGAAAATTTGTTAAGATCCTATTATGGAATCAGTTTCTGTTTTAAATGTTGATTGGAAGTTAGTTACAGGCGGTTAGGAGGTTAGAAAGTTGGTTGGAATTTTGTTAGAGTTAGTTTTTTTTAGATTAGAAACTATTAGAAATCAGTTTCCGTTTTCTGTTATGATAGTAATGGACTGGGTTTTTTGATGAATTGTTTTCTGGGTGTTTTTGCAGGATCGGTAAAGGGGTGGGGCAGCCGTACGAGACTGGCTAAGTCTTGGCATCTGGTTTTGTTTTGGAAGCAGGCTTTGCCTTCAGATCTCAAAAGTCCTTTTTCTTGTGTTGCAGCAAGTGAACCAGCAGAAACAAAGTCATTATAAGTCAATATCTCTGCTCAAATGAAGCCCTTCTCAGAGTCAGAATGAATAACTCCAGCAGCTTGAGGTGCAGTCATCCCTTCAAGTATTGTCCATGCTCTTGTCTC